AAAAACATTCCATACATAATTACCTAATAATCTTAAGAGCTTTAATTAATTAAAAAATTAATATAAGATAAGCAACTCATTTCACTTACTACTAACAACAATCCTAATGACAGTATTAGGTCTGGGGATATAGATCAACGGGTAATGCCCTTGACACACATAAGAACCTGTTAAATTCTCAAAACACACAGAAAGTAGGACACAGTACTAAATCACCTATAATCCAAAGGGCTCCTACAGGGAGATGAAAGTCAAAAATAAAGGAATCCCAGGTGCTCACAGGCCAGCCAGCAGCCTGGAATACATGGGAGTAGTGGAGACAAGGGAAGGATGGGACAAAAGGAGATCCTGTGTCAAACATGGTAGAAGGTGAAGATTCACACCAAAGGTTGCCTCTGATTTTCACAAACTACACATGAATGTATGTATGTATGTATGCATACATACACAGAGAGACAAAAAACAAAAACATGTTTTATTATCATCTCATATTTTACTTAAGAAGAAATAAAAGATTAATTATATCCCATGAAAATAATCTGTAATACATCTGAAATAAGTAAATCAACAGTAAACAAGATCCTCATTAGTGAAATTTTAATGGAGAAAAAAATGTAAAGAACTTTAGTATATAATAAAGCATTTTAACATTTCAACATAATAGTGTCAAAGCATCAAAAAGAAGGATAAAAGTATATACTAAGCCATAAAAAATGACAAAGAAAATGGAAAGCACATATTCTATGTTCACTACAACTGTAAATCTGTACATCAAGAAAAAATAATATAAATGTAAAGAATTATATTATATTTTATCTTATTGCTTAATTTCATAAAAACTGTTTTGAATATTTGAACAGGGGTATGACTATCATATAACATTTATTATTAAGAATTTTTCCTCAATTTGTTAATATACTTTATAAACTAACCTTGGAATTCTTGAAACCCTAGTTCTCCCAAAATATGGACTGATTTGTACTCATGTGTTAAAGTACTAACGCTACCAAAACCAGAGCCAAAGCATTTAAAAAAGTACTTATGGTTTTGTTTTGTTTTTATAAAGCCATAAAAGGGTGGGGTTCTAAGCTACCAGAACCACTGCCTATACACAGACAACAAGAGACACAGAGGGTTCCCATACACAAAGAAAAGGGCAAAAAGCTAAAGGCTTCAAGGAAATCAACCTCATAATACCTGAATCTTGAATTTAACCATAAAAAACAAATTCTGGTTTAGGCCATGTAGCTTTGGTATTTTGTTATAGCAGCCCTAACAGACTAATACACCCAGAATGCACTTATTTAAGTTGCAATAAATATATACATATATGCTAAATAAATCTAAAGAATCAGAAACACATAACAAAGTATTTAAGCTCATTGCTTATATCACTTTAAACACTTATACTATATATGTAGCACCTTATGAAATTATATTATTTCACTTATGTTCTTTTTGATTTGGTTATTGATTCCCTAGGATAACTAAAGATGAACTACTAAATAAAAAGTATGCTATATTTCCAACACCTAGCACAATGTCTCAGAAACTTGATAGTTATTTAGCAATATGAAATCTGCCTTCCAAAAAGGCTTATATTATAAAAATTGTTAAAATTTGAAATGATGAACTAAAGAAACTGTTCAGTGGCTACTGTACTTGGTCTTGCAGAAGACCTGCATTTGATTGCAAACACCTACATGCTGTTTAATATCATCTATAATTCCAGTTTTAGAGGATCCATCACTCTCTTCTGGCCTCCACTGGCACAGATATACATGCAGGCAAAACACATACAGACAAAATCAATACTTCTTTTTAAAAAATTAATAGGATTATTAAAACTACCTACAAAAAACTTAAATCTCCTAAGATTCAACTTAAGGAGTTTTTAAAAATAAAACCAGGGACAGAGGTTTTAATTATTATTATGACATCATAAAAAGTAAGTTACAACCAGAAATGAGAATTACACATACTCTCCTTTCATATATATAAAAATAAACATTAATCATATACTCATTCATACACACACATACACACACACAGAGGTACATTTTAAAGCCTTCATTTTCCTTTTCACCTAGTGACAGAAAAGAAATAATTGACAAATGAAATAACTCCCAAGACCCTATTTTTCAAAATATGCAATAGATACACAAAGTTAATGCATTTCTTCTTATTCACACAGCTATAAGAGGCAACTCTGTAGACTATATGGAATTGTGTGCACATAATATGACATTATCTGCTTATATTTCTTGTGCGATTCAACTGTGTTCCACTAGTAAAAAGATATTTACTCCATGCTCAGACATGGACACAAGCATCTGGAACTATTTTAACTATAAGAAGTTTTGTTATTTTATATCATCACTGATCCATTTTCTTGTATCATCTGAAGATATCCCACAATGGGAAGGTTGAATGCTGAATGTGAAAGCACTGAAGCACTGAGTTTCTTCTTTTTGTTCAGAGACCTTGAGTATGACTCATTTCATGCCTATAACCATCTTAAGCAATAAGATGAGAAATTATTCCTTATTTAGTTCAGGACATACACACGCCCAAAACAAGTATAAATCCATATAATTTCAAACTATTACAATTTATTTTCAGAAAATTCAACAATAGGTATCCTTTCTTCACAAACAAAAACTGTATCTCTGTATATAAGTTGTTTTACTATTACTATGATAAACCACCACGAGCAAGGCAACTTATAAAAGAAAGCTTTTTTTGTTTTGTTTTTTGAGATAGTGTTTCTCTGTGTAACAGCTCTGGCTGTCCTGGAATTTACTCTTAGACCAGGCTGGTCTCTGTAGACCAGGCTGATCTGCCTACCTCTGCTTCCCAAGTGCTGGGATTAATGACATGCACCACCATCGCCCAGAAAAAGGAAGCATTTAATTGGGCTTATAGTTTCAGAGTTAGAGCCAATATTGGCAGAGCAAAAGAGACAGGAACAGCTGAAAGTTCACATATGAAATCCCAAAGTCTCCAGTGACACACCTTCTCCAACAAGGTGACACTTCCTGATCCTTCCCAAATGGTCCTCCAACTAGGGACCAGTTATTCAAACATATAAGCCTATGGAGCCATTCTCATTCAATTCACTATAATATTCTTTTAAATAATTATATATATATATATATTTAATGACTGCTCTGAGCCAGGTAGTTATTTTTTAATGTTTATGACATATTAAGTTACTTAATGCTGTTTATATCTTACTGTTCATATTAATGAAGGAAAGTTATCCTAGTAGGCTTCAGATTCAGAAATAACTATAAATTTCTTAATGAATTCCTAAAGATATCTGTATTATTTATTCTATAAAATGACAAAATAGCACATCTGAATATACTTCTTTAATTACTGGAATTGAAACTGTTTTAAAAAGCACCTTAAATTTGAATAATTTATGTTCCTACATGCACTGTTATTCTAAGAATGGATAACAGAAGAGAGTAACAAGTTGGCACATTTTACGTTTCCATTTGATCATTAATATATGTGAAGTAGGGGAACAGCACTGAGCACATTGAAAATAATCAAAAACAGCTTATAATATTTGTTAAAAACTTAAAGTAAACTGAAAGGGCCCCCAAATGTATGTGTATTGTTTATGTGTGTGTATATCTTATTTATAGTTCTCTCATCAACTGTACACATTAACTGTTAAGAAGTACCAGTTCTCTGAATTTATTTTAAATTATTCTGCAGTATTTAGGTCATCTGTGTTTACCTGGCAACTATACAGATATACTAGGACCTAAGAAACAACCTAGTCCTTCAAATTTTTAATGGAATGTTTACGGAGGCCTCAAGTGAGAAAGATTTTATCTCTCGGTAATTATCTATTTGCCAAAGGTAAGATAACTCCATAAACTTGCTACGCAAGGGAATATTTATGGAAGATGAGATTTAGAATATTAAAATTTGAGTATTCAAGTACTTAGAAAATTGCATTTTTAGGTATGTAACCTTTCTGTATTCTTCAATTTTATTTTAAAAGAAATTAAATCAAGTTTGAATAACAAAATTCTTCAACAATCCCCACAATTTTAGAGACTTAAAATCTTTGTTGAAATGGTTAGCATACTAATGAATAATTAGCTAAAACTGTCTTAGTGCTAAGGGCTTATCAGAAAAGTTATTTCTACTGAATGAGAATAAAATCAAGGTTCTAAGACTAAGGTTCTTCGGGGGGGTGGGGCCGGGGCAAAGCTACAACTTACTTGACTCATATGATACAGTCAACCATTCCCAAGGCAATCAGATGATACAATTAAAAAGTTGTGCTTTTTGAGTCTAACAATACTATAATTGACATGAGATATAGTTTTTAATTTAGAAAATTCATAAATGAGATTTCCTTTTAAATATGATGACCTAATATTTGAAAAAAGACTCATCAGATCCTGATAACTCAAACATATCTATATTTTGCCATCTGAACAAAAAAAATTGAAGATCTGCATTCCTGTCTTCCACATTCACATTAGAATTTTATGACACAGCTAAATCAAATCCCAATTGACTAAGAGCTATTGGGGTAAAACTCTATCCACATAGATTTCTGGAATAATATTTATTAATTTAAAAATAAATTTATGGAAAGATAATAGAAATATTTATTTAATTCTCAACTACTTGGAGAAAATTATTTTATTCTAAGCTGCATTTTACCTGAAAAAGTGGTCAGTGACAATTATGGTTAGAAGTTTTTCTTATATAGATCCCAAGAATTCAAAAACTGACATCATAAAAACTTTCATAACCAAACCAATTCAATTTTACTCTATTTATTATCATTCATTGAAAAATAGTTTTGGAAGCTGAATTATTAATTATAGAATGTTATTTAAATAAATTTCTGTTATAATAAATACAATAAATACAAATGGTTTGGTTTCTTCTAAAAATCAAGATTTTTTTCAGTAGTAATTAGGTATACACCATCCTTCCCACTACCCTTATTCACCATAATATACCTTCTTCTACTGGCTCATTGGTTGCTTCTCCTTTTAGATTCAGCATCCTGGAGAAGCCACTGGAAAGAGTAGAGAAAATGCCATGGATGAAATATCCCTGTTGTTCAGACTCCACTGACCCCAGTGAATTCGGCCATGGTCTCATAAACCTGATACTACAGCAGGGCTCTGGCTCTGAAACGGACCTGGTGAATGGAGCCCGAAGTGATTGGGTATTAACCAGGTTCAGTTTCTCTGTTGATGTCCCAGGGATCTCATGAGCAGAGGAAGAGGCATTAGTACCCATTGTCTCTGGCAGGACCTTTTGCCGGGGCTCATCCAGGTCTCCATTAATATTTTGCAGTCTTTCCATTTTGTTCCCTTTCTTCCTAAAGCCAGGCTGATTCTGCCACCTATAAGCTTCCAGTGGCTTTTCCAGATTGGAAACAGCATATTCATTTTTCTTCCTCTGGCTTTTAAATGAATCACACCATGGATGCATCTTTAAACTTGCTCCTATCTCTGAATTTGCATAAGCAGGTTCTGACAAAGATCTTCCATAGCTTGGAGGACAAGGTGAGGTTTGTTTCTTAAAGATGTTTATCTTCCAGGACTCCATTTTCCAACCTTTCTACACTAAGTTTCTTCTGCTCTGTGTCTTTACCATTGAACCACACTTGTCCGTGTAGTCCAAAACATGTGACTGTCTAAGCAGCTTCTGTGTGGCTTTGAACCACAACAGATGTTGCTGCTTAAGAGCTGGTGTCATGTTATTACCCATTTTCCCAGATCTCCAAAACCTCAGCAGCACCTAAAAAACCTCTGGCCTGAAGCAAATTTTCTTCAGAAGAGAAAGAAAAGTTTCCCAAAGAATCTTTATTCTTCTTACAGTAGGTTAAATGTCTGTCCTATTTCAGAAAATTATTTTTTTTAAGAAGTGAAAAAGAAGTGTCAAAAAAAAAAAAAACAACAAATCCCACAAGCAATTATGGACCAACAGCAATTAGTTCACTAAACAAATGACAACAGATTAAAAATAGATTGTGGAATAATTACTTAAGAAAAAAATGAAAGAAAAAAAACTTACTAAAAGTCCATGTTTGGAGTGGCAGCTTCTTGAAGTTTTCCAATGTGTATTTCAGAAATTTAACTTAAAGCAAACTGATACTACTTATGCTATAATCACTTGCAGTGTTACTACATACTGCCTTCTACCTAACAGGTCAAATCACAGACTACTTCAAGCTGGCTGGGGAAAAGGGGAAAGAGAGAGGGAGAGGCAGAGGGGGAGAGAGGGAGGGAGGGGGAGAGGGGGAGAGAGGATGGGAGAGATAGTGGGAGGGGAGAGGGAGGGAGGGAGACAGACAGACAGACAGACAGACAGACAGACAGACAGACAGACAGAGAAGTTCATGCCATTTTAAATGTAAATATATTACAGAGGACTAAAAAAGCATAAATGGGAGGAAAGGGGCAGATATAGACAATATTTGTTATAAAGCACTGTAAGGGAAAAGAAAAGCTGAATCCAGTTGCCTTACAGATGCTAAGCAAGTAAGTACCCTACCACTGATACAGCCTTAGTCCCTAAAAAAGAAACTCTTGAGGCAAGTTCTGTGGCAACTGAAAACACGGGAACACACATACTTTAATAATTTGTAGAAGGAAAAGTTTGCTATGCAAATCTAATTGGAGTAAGTTAGCTGGAAAAACACTATCATTTAACCAAAGTTATTCCTTTCTTACTCTTCCTGCTTCTTACAACTTTCTAAAGAGCTGACTGTTTAACATTTTGTTAAAGCAAATACCTTATACTGAACCAAGATCACGACTGCCAAAAGTTGGGCTAGTTGTATTTTTTCAACAGTCTGCCCATAAACCCCTGAAAATAAGGGTTTCAAATGGAAAGCCTGACAGACTTCAGACCACCAATAAAAGAGATACAGCAGAGCAATCAAAGTTACTTTGTAAATTACTGAGAAATGATTTCATCTGGCAAACATAAAAACTACCCATTTATTTATAAAATGTGTACAATAAAAAAACAGTTCTCACACTAAGTATTTCTACTATTATAGCAGGAATAGTAAAGAAATTTTACATATTTCTTCATTTCAGCATATCAAATATTCTATTATTTCCATTATCACAAAGACAAATTCAATTTTCTTTGTTTACAAAGTATCCAAATTTACTAATTTGTATAATAAAGAAGTTGAGATATTTGGGTTTCTTAAATACACAATATACCAAATTAAAGGGTCCCAAAATCATATAAATTTACCTGCATTTAAAAGTAATACAGGGAGCCGGGCGTTGGTGGCGCACGCCTTTAATCCCAGCACTCGGGAGGCAGAGGCAGGTGGATCTCTGTGAGTTCGAGGCCAGCCTGGTCTACAAAGTGAGTTCCAGGACAGCCTCCAAAGCCACAGAGAAACCCTGTCTCGAAAAACCAAAAAAAAAAATAAAAATAAAAATAAAAATAAAAGTAATACAGGGAAGATGAGAGATGGGGAAAGAGGGGACACTGGGATTGGTACATAAAATGAAAAAAAATTAAATATAAAAAAGAAACAAACTTATACAAAGAAACAACAGATCATATCCTAACCTCTCTTCATGATAAAGCACATTGTCCACAACATTGATGTGATAGTATACCTAAATAAAACTCAGCAATGAAAAGCTATAAAAGTATGAGAAGATATCTGTATGATCTACAATAAAACAAAGAGCTTTTAAGATGTAGAAAGCAAGTAATTATGAGTTCATATATTTAAAAACTTCTGGCCAATAGAAGGCTCCACTAATAAAACTGATAAGCAAGACCAAAATGGCAGAAACATTCACAATATAAACATCTTAAACCATTTTATTTTCCCACAAGCTTATTAAAAAGAAAACCAACTTTTTAAAGTAAATAAAAACCCTTCACAAAAACTTAAGCTAGGTAGGATGGCACATTCTTAAACTTGTGGGCTTTAACGGCTAGGCTCACAACCAAAAAACATTCTTAAACTTGCAGCACTTGGGAAACCAAGAGAGAAAGATGTGAACTTATATCTCATTTTTACTAAATTATGACCAATAAACATATGAAAAATTATTTAACCTCATTAGTAGTTAAAGAAATGCAACAGAGTTGAAATAAGACATTACCCACTCTAGATGGTAGTGATGGGGTTTAGCAAATAGAACTGCCAAATTATTATCAGAATCATAGACATGCTATTATTTCAGGTTTTTTTTTTTTGAGACAAGGTTTCTCTGTGTAGCTTTGTAGACCAGGTTAGCCTCAAACTCACAGAGATCCACCCACCTGCCTCTGAGTGCTGGGATTAAAGGCACGCAAATGCCCAGCTTAGAAGTCTATCTTAAATTCAACACACATTTATAACATGATTAAGCAATTCTGTTATAGATATTTTTACCAGAACCTTTAAAATACATTTGCTTATACCTAAATGTTCATAATCATAGCAGCTTTATTTAAAATACCTATACAACAACAGAAAGAATACAAATGTGTACAGGGGTAAAATGGATAAATTGTGGCATTTTCATACAATGGAATATTGCTCAGCTTGAGAAACACTGGCAACTAATTCATAAAACATAGATGAATCCTACAAATATTATTCCAACAAAAAATGCAACACAAAAAGTACATACTATCTAAATTTCATTTAGATGTAGTTATAAGCCTGATTTAAAAAAAACAAAAACAAACAAACAAAACCACTGTAGAAAGAAAGGAAACAAAGAGGGGAGAAGACAGAAAGGAAAGCAAGGAGAGACGGAAGGAGGGGAAGTAGTTCCAGTGAAAGAGGCAGTGTTAACCAGAAAGGGAAAGAAGTGGACTTTAGGATAATGAAAACTTTCTACATACTTCTAGATACAGATGTAATTGTATTCATGTCTGTATTCATTAAGAAAATCTAATTATTCACTTAAGATTTAAATGATATATATCAGGTGATGGTGGTGCATACCTTTAATCCCAGCAGTTAGGAGGCAGAGGCAGGAGGAACTCTGTGAGTTTGGGGCCAGCCTGGTCTACAAAGCAAGTTCTAAGACATCTAAGGCTACACAAAGAAATCCTATCATGAGGATTAAAAAGCAATACTGAACTCTACTCAGTGGGTTTGCTTATTCTGTATCAAAACCATGTTCTGTGTACCCAAGGATTAAGAGAAGTTGCAATTGCATGGAAGAAAATGATGTACAAAGGGCAAATGAAATAAATGAACAAATAACTGAATCTCACTAAGGAAACAAACTGACACTATGTGCCTCCTGAGATAATTAACTGTGAAGCATATAACATGACCTCATATTAATATACAAAATATAAAGAAAATCACACTGAAAACCCCAAACTGAAAACCATTCTAATGGGTGTGCTAGGCGTGTAGCTCTACAACAGAACGCTAGCCTAGTGTGTACAAGGCCCTGGGTTTGACTCCTTATAGCCTTCCTAAAAATGGGAAAAATAAAAAGGAGAAGAAAATAGCAATAAATGCATTTTACAAAAATAATTTATTGCTTCTAAAACTCAAGGAAACACAAAAACTATGGAACTGATTTCTCATTAAAGCAGACTTAAGATAGATGATTGAAAGTAATGCATGATCTATGTTTCATCCTGGATGTAGAAAAATAGCTATGATAAACATTATTAGAGAAACAGACAAAATTTAATACACACTATGCAACAGTTAATAAGGTTATTATCAATGTTTAAAAAAACTTTTCATTTTAGGGCTACAGAGATGGCTCAATGGTTAAGTGTACTGGTTGCTCTTCCCAAGGACCTGGGTTCAATACCCAGCACCCACATGGTAGTTCACAACTATTTCTTCCAGGTGATCCAGTTACTCTAAGGTAACCAGTCATACACTTGGTACAGATTCACATGCAGCCAAAACATCCACATACATGAAAAAAATTAAGTAGAGCACAATCAGCTTTTGTTAAAGATAGTTAATAGTATACCAACATGCTGGAATAATATACATCAAAAGAAAAACCTGTGATTTAGGATAGAATTTCAATTTTAACTTCTGTAGTAAATTTCATAATAAATGCATATTTTTCTGTTTCTGAAAGCATAAAGCCTTAGTAAACACATACTTAAAGTCTACTCAGAGAACAAGTAAAAACTTTTACACTTAGAGATGTGGACAAGTCATCACAGATCAACCTTAGACAAGTTTTCAATAATCCAACAAAGCCAGAAAGAAGAGAACAGCTATCTACAGTTAACTAACAGCAAAAAGACAAAACATACCCAATTTCCATTTTAGGATTATAGAACATGCATAATTAGCTTATTTTCAACTTATCTACAGGTACAGTTGAGAATTCTGACTTAAACATAGATATAAAGTTTAAATTTTAGTTATTCTAGCATTATTTAGTTTAGGTTCTATAAATTTCTTATAGTTTAAAATAGAATATGAGCATTTCATGATATTTTTATAGACTTATTTCAACTTAGCAAAACAAATAGAGATGAAAAGGCAGAATGTAAGTTCCTCTGTTTACCAACAGTCTGCCACTACTTCCTATCTGATAACATACTGTAGTGATAGAAATTCTATTCTACTTAGCCCATAAGCTCTGTTGTGTTGAAATACATAAGCTATGCTAAATTAACAATATAATTGTTAGTAAAACATAAGAAAGTATACTGCTTATATCAATTCACAAAAATCTTTAAAAATAGGATTTAATTTCTACTAACCAAAAGACGTCTCTCAAAAATACAAAGTCCTTGTTTATAGGAAGTCAAGCAATTAATAACAAAACATCCCCTTCCCATCTCCTATCACTGGGGCACATCTGCTTCCCGATGGAACACTTCCTGTGGGGGGGGGGACCTACCTC